AGACGGACAGACAGACTGCACAATTATTAGATAATTAGATACAAATGACAATGCATTGATGCTAAAACAAGGGCGATATTTCGGGACATTTTGGGGGCATTTCCTTTTTCTAAATGCTCGTTTCAACCAATTTTTGGCCTCAAAAAGCGCATTTTAATTATTTTCTTCACAATTTCTATTGTTGTTGTTAATTGTTGATGATTTGCACAAATGGATTTATTATTTTCATTGCTAGAGCTCACGAAGAAGAGCTTTAACTGTTTGTTGTTGTTGTTTATTTGTTGTTGTTGTTAGAACTTGCGGAAACTCGTGTCTCGTGAAACAGCTTGAAACAAAAAACAAAATTATTGTTTGTTCTGTTTACAAAAGCTCACATTTGCAAAAGAATCAAGATAGTCAATCAAAACAAAAATCAAATCAAATCGTTTCTCTCTTCACAAGTCAACTCTGTCAACTCTGTCAACTCTATCAACTCTGTCATTTCTTCTCTCCCGTTTTTCTCTTAGTTGTTTCCCCCAAAAGTGAAACGTCCTTGTTCTTCTTTCTTTTTCTCTCTTTTAAAATGAATTGCCTTAAAAAAAAATCGTTTCTCCGCTTTGAGTCTCGACTCATTCAAAAGTGACTTCAAAATTCTCTCTACTTCTACTCATTTTTCTCTCGAAAAATGATCATCTCACCGGAACTCCCTTCTCTTTTTTTGTTTTTTTTTGCTTTTCAAAATTTCTCAATTCCTTTCAACTTTTGTGACACAAAATGTATTGATTTTTGTGAATGTTTCCAGAGAATTTTGCTTTTCGGAGGGATCTCTGGGCCGACGGATCGTCGTTTTCGTCGCTGTTTTACAGGTGATTTGAGAGAAGATTTGTTGGCTCATTAATAAAGCTCATTAGTAAAGCTTATTAGTAAAGTTTATTAGTAAAGCTGATTAGTAAAGCTTATTAGTAAAGTTTATTAGTAAAGCTGATTAGTAAAGCTGATTAGTAAAGCTGACTAGTAAAGCTTATTAGTAAAGCCTATTAGCAAAGCTTATTAGTAAACTAAAGGATTGTTTATTTTTTGTAAACTTTTCAATTTTATTTTCAAACTGGAACTAACTGGGACGCAATTCGAAAGTTGAAAAGGTTTTCAATGGATGCCAAGCTATTTCTGGAGCTTTAACTGAATATTTTGACATTTTTGACACAAAACTAATCTAAACGAATCTCATTTGAATCTAAAATTCAAATTAGAACATTCAAATTGGAGCTTCTGTGACACTAAAAACTAAAAAGAAACTAGATTTCATTCCAAGCAGAGTCACCGCCTTTTCCAACTTCAGAAATGTGTTCACAATGGGCGCTCTTCTCATTAGTTTGCTTCTGTTCGTCTACACCGCTTTTCACTTCATAATCCAGTATTTCGGTGAGGTTTTCGTTAAGAACAAAACTTTCATTCTTGGACTACTTTAAAATAGAAAGGTTGAGATCACCTCCGTTGTACAGCCACAACAAGACAAAAAGAAATCGTCAATTTTCTTAGACTCTCAATGCTGAATGTCAATTTGCATTTTAGCAACTCAAAAATTCATCCACCAATCACCCACAAAAATTCAGTTGACCTGTCGCAATCCCTCTACGCGATCTACCGTATCCATTCCGATTTCGAGCCAGACTCCAATCATCAACCGCTCTTTCAGCTCATGCTAGAGAACATGTGGAAGCAGAAAGAATACCCAATTGACATCCCGAGTCTCTTTTTGTTTTCTGCATATATGATGTATTTATTGTGAGTGAGAGGAGGGGAGAGGAGAACGGGGGCCAAAAAGATTGACAAGGGAAAATCAAGTGGACAAGGTGGTCAAATGGCATGTGCTATATCTGATTCGATGCAGAACTTTACACTAATTCCGACCATAGTTTCAGTTTTGGCTAGGCGCTACCCTATCAAAAGTTATACGAGTTTAAAGTTTCACAAAGCATTTACAGGGTTAAATTATGATGTTAGTTTTACTCAAGGTCAAATTATGGTAAGCTAGTTTCCCAAAGGCTTTTCAAAAGCCCTGGTGGCCAAGTTGTAGTGAGTTAGCATAGGAAGCGAAGATTCTTTGGTTCGATTCCCCTTTACATCTTTTCTTTTTTGCTTTTTTTTTCTTTGACCAACTTGGGTATTCTCCATTTCAACTTCGTCTCACAAGTGACTATTTAATTTTTACATATAATAAACATTAAAAACAGTAGTTATATAAGTTATGTTGTGCGTGAGGGAATTTGTACTTTGTGCACCAAAAAAAGCAAAAAAGAAAAGATGAAAGGGGAATCGAACCAAAGAATCTTCGCTTCCTATGCTAACTCACTACCGCTCGGCCACCAGGGCTTTTGAAAAGACTTTGGGAAATTAGTTTACCATAATTTGACCTTGAGTAAAACTAACTTATCATAATTTCACCCTGTAAATGCGTTGTGAAACTTTAAACTCGTATAACTTTCGATAGGGTAGCGCCTAGCAAAAACTGAAACCATCGTCGGAATCAATGTGAAATTCTGCGTCGAATCGGATATAGTACATGCCATTTGACCACCTTGCCTCCTTGATCTTCCCTTGTCAATTTTTTTCGGGAATCGAACCAAAGAATCTTCGCTTCCTATGCTAACTCACTACCACTCGGCCAACAGGGCTTTGAAACGCCTTTGGAAAACAACTTATCATAATTTGACCATGAGTTCAAAAATGCCTTGTAAAACTTTAAACTCGTATAACTTTTGATAGGGTAGCTCCTAGCAAAAAACTGAAACCACATTCGGAATCAGCGTGAAATTCTGCGTCGAATCGCGCTCATGCCATTTGGCAACCTTGCCCACTTGACTTTCCCTTGTGAGCCAAAGATTGAATAAAGTATTCGGGTCGTTCCACAGTTTATTCATGTCTTATAAATTATACACAGCATGTACGATACAGTACAGTTTACAATTTATTGAAAGCTTTTTCTACAATTTCACTCATCAATCTTATAAAAGTGTGTCTTAAGGGGGGAGGGGGACCATTCTCGCTTCTCCGAAAATATTTTGAACATAACTTTCCCTTCCAATTCAAATATTTTCAAAGTTTCTTTCTAGATTTAGAAACTAGAGAAATTCTGCATCAAAATATGCAAAGAAAATTCAAAAAGATACATTTTATGCCAAAAGATTCAAAATAACCCCAAAAGTTGGGCAATTGAACCAGCAATGTGCCCGATTTCCATTTCGAATCCTCATCAAAATCTTTTCTTGTCTTGCAAAATCGACTCCCTGGCAGGGATTTCATCGATTTCTCTTCGCAATTTATGAGAATGTAAATAAGTAAAAGGCTAAAAAGGGCTCCCAAAAAAATTTTAGACAGCCTTATGGTATCCAAATATATCTACTCCAGCGGAAAGCCCATTTGGGACGGAAAGCGCATAGTTTAAAAGGCTGATGTTAAGTACCTTCCACTAATTCTTTGCTATTCTTTAAACCATGATTGTCGAGCTCTCTTCGGACACACCCAACCCGTTCCTGTTAGCTTTCTTTCTTTAAAAATGACTAAAACTACCATAACCCATGTTAAGCTCTGCCCTTTTTTAAAAATGGACCTAAAAGCCAGATTCCCCATAGCCGAAAACCCCCGGGAGCAAAATTTTGCGCGCAAAAGCTGAATACTTTGCCTTTTAACCGATAGAGCAAACGCAATTACGGAGCGTCGCGTTTGCGCACAGACCGACAGACGGACGTCCCTTTCGCTTTATATATAGTAGATATAAAATAAATTGAAACACTCCTCAGCAACTACAAGTATTCAACCAGAAACAACGAAATCTCTGGGACATTAACCCTGGAAATTGTCGTATAAAGAGCCAAAGCTAGAAACTTACTCAATTGCTTCGAGTCTTGCATTGATTGTGCTAGTTTGAGGTCCATGTTATTTGAGATCCCAAAATTTCTTTATCACTTCTTTCATTGTGGATTTGTATTTACGAAATCCAGCTCTTCGAATTCTTCTCTCAGTTCGACCGTGTTTATCTCATCGATTTCTTCTGAAGAACTGATGACAAGCGTTTTATAGAATTTAAAGTTCTTTTGGATTTTTTACTGGCTCTAATAGTTATGCGGGTTAAGTTCAAAGTCAAACATAGAGATCCTTAACTCGAGTAAAGCTTTGAGTTCCGAGAAATGCACGTTCACGTAGCCCTAAATGGATTGACGTCAAAATATCGTAAAGTGCAACTTTCTTGTCTCATTAAAGTAACCTTAAAAGTTTCTTTGGATCGCCGGACCTCCTACCAACTCAAAGAGTTTCTCATTGAGATTAAAGAGCATCAAGGTTTTAGTTTCCGATGATCATATAATGGATATAAAGAAGAAGATGGGGATAAAAATTTCTTGATTTTGCATGCGAAATCATTGACTTCTTGCACAGTTGTGACACATGATTTGCGACTTGAGAGAAGGGATTATACGCCTTATTCGTTGATTTATTTGAGGGTGGGTTCAATAAGAATGCTTACTCATGTTTAGGTTCAGTTGAAGAAGGTCTACTGTAGTCAAAGAATTAGAAGATTCATCATTATCTTCTGTGGGGGGACAAGTTTTTGATCATTTTGCAGCCCGATTTTAGAGAGGTTTTTGTTTATAACTTTTGATGAAACAAATAGACTCTGAAAGTTGACGTTCTAAGCTACCTAAATCTTATTAAAACTTCCTGATCTGAGAAGATTAAGGTGCTTAAAAATGAGCTGCAAAATGGTCAAAAATTCTCTCCTCTCCTCTCCCCCTCCATAGCCGTAAAGGTTCGTCATTTGTTGTGACATTTTTGAACAAATAGAAAAGAAGCAACTGTATGTTTTCCTGTTTACAAAAAGAAGTTATAAACAGCTCTTTTTCTGAGTCACAATTTTAATGGTCGTTTTCTTTTTCTGACACAATTTTTGCCGAGTTATGGGTTTTTGATAAAACGAACTTTTTTGATCGATTTTCTACAGCTCTAGATTTTTTGTTTCTTGAACGATGTCGGAGAACTTACAAGTCAAATGTGTAGGCCAGGGAGGATATGGAGTGGTTATGCTACTAAAATCGTATCATCCGTAAGTGAGCTTTGAACTCTTTATGCATTTTAGAACTTGAATATCGTATCTCTGAGGTAATCTTTGTGATTAGACAAATTGTGATGAAAGAGATTGTCAAGAACCCAAAAATCGACTTCCAAACCGAACTTAAAGTGCTCAAAGAACTCTCACATCCAAATATTGTCAAATACGTCGATCGACCCTCCGATTTTACGTATAATGGCCAAAATTTGGTGATCTTCATGGAATTTTGTGAGAATGGATCTCTAAAGCAAGGTTTGTTGATTCAATTTTTAATCTAAAAGTATGCTAGTCATCTCTGATTCAACCCTCATCTACTCAATTGCGACAATTGCAAAATGGGCTGAAGAAATATTTTACGCGTTAGTGTACCTTTTTCAGAAGAAAAAAGTGCATCGGGACATTAAATCGGCAAAGTTTGTTTACAAAGATTCAAGTAAAGTTTTTTTTCAGCATTTTCCTGACTCGAGATCACATTGTCAAGATCGGAGATTTTGGTATAGTGAAAGAGTTTTCAAAGGCAAGCCATTCCGGGCAACCAGTTGGCACTTTTGGATATATGGCACCCGAAGTGTTAAATAAATTAGTTGTCGATGAAGAGGTTTGCTTTTTTTTTAATGTTTTTATGGCAAAATTTCCTAAACTACCGTAAATACTGTAATTGAAACCCCGGGCTCCCTGGTGGGGCTCCTCCTCTGGTGGGGCTCCTCCTGAAAAAGGTACACTAACGCGTAAAATATTTCTTCAGCTTCCTCTGGTGAGGCTCCTCCCCTGGTGAGGCTCCTCCCCTGGTGAGGCTCCTCCCCTGGTGAGGCTCCTCCCTGGTGAGCCTCCTCCCTGGTGAGGCTCCTCCCCTGGTGAGGCTCCTCCCCTGGTGAGGCTCCTCCCCTGGTGAGGCTCCTCCCCTGGTGAGGCTCCTCCCCTGGTGAGGCTCCTCCCCTGGTGAGGCTCCTCCCCTGGTGAGGCTCCTCCCTGGTGAGGCTCCTCCCTGGTGAGGCTCCTCCCCTGGTGAGGCTCCTCCCCTGGTGAGGCTCCTCCCCTGGTGAGGCTCCTCCCCTGGTGAGGCTCCTCCCCTGGTGAGGCTCCTCCCCTGGTGAGGCTCCTCCCTGGTGAGGCTCCTCCCCTGGTGAGGCTCCTCCCCTGGTGAGGCTCCTCCCCTGGTGAGGCTCCTCCCCTGGTGAGGCTCCTCCCCTGGTGAGGCTCCTCCCCTGGTGAGGCTCCTCCCCTGGTGAGGCTCCCCCTTCCCTCCACTTCCAGAGGCGGCCTTCTAATTTTCATCTGAACTTTTTGAAAAATTCCAAGCTACCAAAATTGGATATACTGACAGACAGATTCGTTCGATAAACTAATTTTCTTCTAATTTTATTCAAAAACAGTATAAACATCAAAAACAAGTGCTAATAATCAACAAAATTTAATAAAAACGAATTTGAAATTGATCAAACTAGACATCAAAGTCAATCGAAACATCGGAGTCAACGACTTCTTCTGGAACATTATCAGCTTCTTCTTCTGGATCATTTTCTTCGCGAGAATTTTGAAATCCTGTGAATTCGAAGAGTTCTAGTAGATCGTCGATTTCTTTTTTCATGCAAGCAACCTTCAGCATGTGCGTTCCTGTAGAGATCGAACCATCCGGTTTGAAACAGTGAATCAAGTAATCCTCACTTCCATTGGAAGCAATTCTGATTCCACATGTTTTGAAAGATTTTAGAATGGCTTCCTTGCTGATTGTGTCGCAAGCACTCAAAATCCAGCTTAAGTAGATGTCCATTGAAGGAGACTTTGGATTGCCACCACCCATTTCATCTTTTTGTGTTCTTGTCAAATACGGAGCCGATGTCTGAGGTCAGTCTGAAGAAGGTCAGGGTCTGAGGTGGGGCAGTCTGTAGCTGGGGAAGGTCAGGGTCTGAGGTGGGTTGGTTTCAAATCAAATCAACCGCTCGTTTTTGTTAAAGAATGCTTGTAATGCTCTTCAGAGCTGGATCAGGAGTAGCCAACTCGAATTTTTTATCTATTTTATCCTATCCTCATACTGTTGTCGGATCTTTACTTTAAACGGTGCATTCCAAGAAACAGGTTGAAGCATTTGTTTTTCCTTTCTTTCCAACAAAGCAATAATTTCAATTGAAATTTGGATTCGATCTTATAATTCAACGTTTTCCTCGGGATCACCACAAACGGCTTTAATTTCTTTCCGTCAGATCTTTCCGTCGGCGTTATCGAGATGTTAATTTTGTCGTAAGAGATCTCGCTCAAGCTCCCGGCAGTCCAGGAACTCCAATCCCTCGCCAAGATTATCAATTATACCTAAAAAATGTTAGAAACGTATTGAGAAACTGTAAAGCATTGAAAAGTTCGATGTTTTACAATTTCTCAACAAAAAAGTATAAAAAAATAAATAAACAAAAGAAAATCTTCAAATGAAATGAGCAAGAAGTTTACAAGAGATAAATTAATGCAAAAAGTAGAATTTTGAGCAAAATAAATGCAAATTTGCAGAGCTTCTATTAGAGGAGGGCTTCAATTACAGTATTTACGGGAAAGCAATTGAGAATATCTTCTAGATAAGCAAAATTATAGAATGAACATAAGTGTGACGTTTTTGGAGCAGGAATCGTCCTTTTGGAGCTCATCGAAAGGAAGTGAGTCAAAAAGAGACACTTTTGACATGTTATTCTTAAGCTGGGTTGTCTTTTCCCAATTCCAAACCCAAAAATCTCAAGGCCAGGTCAGGTTCGGCAATTCTTGTTTTAATTATTCAACTAAGAAAATGGACTAGCTGTAGTGTTAAACAAAACTCAAGTACACTTGCAGTTAAAAACTCCGCCCAAAGCTTTTCAGACCTTTGCCTCAAATCGACACCCCACTGAGAGTACACCACGACTTCAAGGAGTTGGTCCAACTTGTTGAAAAGTTTGCCAGCATTCTTGAATTTTAACGCTAGCTTCAGTTGCACGACGGTTGACTATAAAATCCGAGCTGCTCCAAGTGAAGCTCTAAAAATTGTGAACTTGCTTAAAAAGGTGAGGATATTTAATGGGGTATCTATTGGGTTGGGGAGAATGAGTCGGCGCCCAACTTTAAAGGGACTTTTTGCACACATAAAGCCTTCTTTAAACATACATTTGGTTTCATCAAAAGGATCCACTATTTCTCTACAAAATGACTTTTGAGAGATTCCACAAAGCTTTTCTTTCGTGGAGTTTATGAACTTCCAAACGCAGCTGGTTAATATGGCAAAGAGTCCGACTCATCATTTGAACAGTTTCTTTCACATAAACCTTCTTTGGTGTTTATATAAAAAAGATAGAGCACATTCAATTACTTAAGTTGCCAAATTTGCAGGAAGATCCCACCAATGGTTTTTTCTAGATGACAGTTTGTAGTTTTTGTGAAAAAATGGCTTTTTCTTGAGCGGAGGCGCTGTTTGAATTTTCTTTTAAATGTCATTTTGTAGAGAATTAGTTAACCATTCTACTCATATCAAACGCATATTATTTGACGAAGTCGAATAGAAGTTTTAGACATTTTTTTGCATTTTCGGCGCCGACTCATTCTCCCCAACCCAATAGCTTAGCTGTTTAAAGGAGACATTTAAAGGAATTGTTTAAAGGAGACATCTCTTACATGCAAATTTATAACTTTACCAAACAAATTAGGCCTATTGTGACACTTGTTCTTTACAGAAAACCATTGACTTTGAGTCGGTGCCCGAGCGACGAATAGCTCAAAAGCTTCTCGTCAAACCCATTGGACTAAATGGAACACATGAAGAAGCATTGGTTTACGACTACAGTAACAGTTCTCTTGATCATATTCCAACAATAACTTTCGATTTCAAAAGTGATGAGAAAGCGGAAGCAAAGATTGAAAACTGTCCCGGAGAAAAGGCTGTGAATTCACTGCTGGCTTCACAACAGCAGAACCAATTAGCGGAATGGTTGCAAAAGCTAGAAGTTGATGTAAACTTTGACAAAATCCTTCTCTACAACCTCGAAGTTTTCAGAGATTGTCAGTGGATTGAAGGAAATTTCTTTGATGAAAATAACAAAATAGAGAATTTCTTTGATGCGAATAACAAAATAGAGAATTTCAATGAACCAAGAAAACATCTTTCCAAGAAACTCATCGATTTGATTAAAAATATAAATGTTGAAGAAACTAAAGCACTTTTCGATTCTCTACATCACACTTTGATTGCCAATTTTCGTTTGAGACGCTATCTGAATTTCTCATTTGATGATAATGGACCAGATGTTCCTGAAGAGTTAACAGCAGCTCTTGAAAAAGTGCCCGAATTCTCTTCGATTTTAAAATACGATCATAAAATCCAGAATGCTTGCTTTGGTTTTGCGTTCTTTGTTATGCGAGAATGTCAACGATCAAATCTCACAAATCAAGACATTTCGAAGCTCATAGAGATGGCGATCAAAAATATTGAAGAGCTAGAGAAAATCTTCTCCCGTCGCCTATATTTTACTGTCTTTTACGTGGAAAGTTCAAGACTTGAGTGGTTTGATACAGAACCTTATTATCATATCTACATGAGAAGAGATCTTACTCATTTCGTGGACAATGAGACAATAAAGGATTCAAACGGGAATCCCATGTATAAGATTCCAATTGATATCGAAGCGGTGAGAAGGTATTGGTTTGACCGGAAAGACTTGTCCACCATTTTGAAATTTTCGTTTACAAATGAATAATTAGCCGATCAATGTGTGATTTACTTTAAATAAAAAAAGATTAACTATTTCATTTAGCGCATTTTTAGGTAACTTTCTAAGTCTTAGTTACCGTATTTTCTCTAATATCAAGTGATCAAGTGAAATGGGAGAAAATAGGGCTCTTAAAGATAGGTAAAGATAGCCGGGGAATTTGAAGGCTAATTCACTTCGGAAACGATAACACTAACCTTACTTTTCCTATACCCTATTCTCTCTAATAGTAATGCACCCCGTCGAGCCGAGTTGGTGACGATTTTACGGTTTCCAAGCTTTTGCAGAATCTCAACACTCTAATGCCCCACTAGATCTCATCGTCAGCTACATTTTCCGACCCCACATTGATAGGTTCTGATAAGTGGTTCTCGAGATTTCGAGCAATTTAGGGTGCACTACTATTAGAGAAAATACGGTAATCCTTTAGGCCTTCAATTCTAGACCTTAGTTTTAATTCAGTATTTTAAACCAACAATTAACAAATGAAAAAGCAGCTTTTTCCTAGCAATTCCATTTTCAGATCACTCTACGATCACCGTGAAATTTTACGGCGATTCATGCATCGGCCCCGCACCGAACATGTCTCAATGCATTACCTTCTTGACACACTTGAGGATCAAGCTAAGGAGCAAATTCCGATTGATCAACTGTCTGTGTGGGCTAAAGATTATCTGGATAAAACTCGAGTTAAAAATGCTGAACAGGTTCAATCTAGTGAAATTGTGGAAGAAAAAGTAGGCGATGAAGCAACGAATAATATTGATGAAGCTGTTAGCTCAGCTGTTAACTCAGCTGTTAACAAAACAGTTGTTTCACAAAAACTGGAGATCATTCGTGGAGCTAGTTCTCTAGAGATTCGATTGAATCAACTACCGGAAACAAATGAAATTGTAGCTTTTGTCCGTCATTTTCGAGAACCTGGTTTCATTGATCCGTTTGATGGGTTTTACTTTTTCTTCAATTCTCCCCCGGAAGAGGCTTGGAAAAAGCTACCACTTGCACGAGCTTATCGTATTATTGCAGACGATCCTGACGGACTACGGAAACTACGCAGCCAAGCAATGACACCAAAACACAAAGTGTTCATGGAAAACTATGCACTTTTTGAGAAAGCTTGGTCATATGTTCTTTGCTATTCAACACTTGAGAATCAGCTACCAATTTTATTCCTCATCAAAGAGTTTCTCATTGAAATTAAAGAGCATCATGATTTTAGTTTCCGATGCTCATATAATGGAAATAAAGAAGAAGATGAAGATAACAATTTCTTGATTTTGCATCCGAGAACATTGACTTCTTGCACAGTTGTGACACATGATTTGTTGATTGAAAGAGTGAATTATACGCCTTATTCGTTGATCTATTTGAAGGTGAGTTCAATAAGAATGCCTACTCATTGTTTAGGCTTATTGTCAGTTGAAGAAAGTCTATTTTACAATGAGTCTTAGCTAGTCAAAAAATTCGAAGCTCCATCATTGCATTAGTACTTAGGATTTAAAATATCTAGCCTTCTATTAGGTTGGTGAATTGGAAACTGCCGGACTTTGAACTAAAATTTATTCAAAATAAAACCATAAATTCGTTCCAAATAATTTCCATTATTATTGACGACTTCTGCCCATTTTACAGGCAATTTGCGGATTCCTCTTTCGTAGTAGGATTTTGGTTTGTGTGTGAGACAAGTGTGAGACTCAAAAATCGAGGACTGGAGATGCTAGCTGTCGGCCCAGTTTGAGCACTTTCTTCAAAAGAAACCCATTTTGGTGTCAATAGAAAAATTGTAGAGAATCAAAAATTAGGCTTATAGCCAAATTTCCAAAAAGATACACTTAGTAGTTCCGCTTAAAGCGCAAGTTTTGTCAAAAATTCGTAAATTTGGCATTTCTTGAAAACCGATTTTTGAATGGTTCTGAAAATTTGGATTTAAGCTTCATTTTGGATTCTCTACAACTTTTCCATTGACACCAAAATGGGTTTCTTTTGAAGAAAGTGCTCAAACTGTCACAGATCACAATACCCGGCAGTTTTCAATTCACCAATCCAATAGTAAAGTAATAGTAAAGCGACCGTATTCTATTTTCCTACGACTTTAATGGATTGAATTTCCCTTAATGAGACAAGAAATTTAGACTTTACGGTATTTTCACGGCATCCCTCAGTCAGTCAACTTTGTTCTACTAGCTAGTTCAAGTTTAGGGTTACGTGAACGTGCATTTCTCGGAACTCAAAGCTTTACTTGAGTCAATGATCTCTTTGTTCGACTTTGAACATTACTCACGTAAGTATTGAAAATAGTAAACGATCCACTAAAAATTGAAGTCAAATGGAAATCTATTAATAGATTAATACTTTTATTCCCCACTTTTCAGACGAAATCGATGAGGTAAACACGGCAGAAATGAGAGAAGAATTCGAAGAGCTGAGGGGATTTCAAAACTACAAATCCACAATGAAAGAGGTGATAAAGAAATTTTGGGATAACATGGACCTCAAATTAGCTCCATCAATGCAAGAACTCGAAGCAATTGAGTAAGTTTCTAGCTTTGGCTCTTTATACGACAATTTCCAGGGTTATTGTCCCAGAGATTTCTTTGTTTCCTGCTGAATACTTGTGAACAATTGCTGGAATTGTATTAGGTTGACCCATAAGTTTTGGTAACACTTTGTTCTACTAGCGTTTATAAATGATAAATTTACCAATTCACCAATTCGCTCCATTGGAGAGGCCCACTATTTTCCTACAAAATAACGTTCGAATCTTATGAAAATGTTTCTTCTATGGTTTTTTTATGGGGCTGCGAAGTCGGGTATTCAAAAAAAGGCGACCAGACGCGATTTTAGGCGTTTTGTTCTTCCAAGACAACTTTGGCAACTTGGAGAAGAGTGGAAAAATGGCTGGTGGAAGAGTTCAAATTGATCAACCGGTGTGATTTAGCAGAATATAAGCTGGGTTTAGTCTTTAGCTTTATATATTGAGCTTTGTAAAGGAATCTGACAAGGAATCTGACAAGGAAGCTGCCACTTATTAGGTAAATGATAGGATTATCAAGCTCTGGCTTTACAAGCTGAATTTTGCTGTTCAGAAAGTCTTTTCCTTCCTTTTAATACTACCGTTTAAAGCCAACAAATGCCTCAATTGAACTGTGGTTTGGTTTCATTAGAAACACCAATTATTTTTCTACAAAATAACATTAAAACGGGCTTAAAATATCTGATTTCTGGATACTTTTGAGAGCGTACAGTCGCGTAGTCAAAAAGAGCGACGGTTCGATGATGCGGAGACTTTAGCTTTAGAAAAGACGCACTTTAGCTAAGAAAACCTATGTTGCTATTAATAGATAAAAGATAGAGCACAAAAAATTAGATATATAGCCGAATTTTCAGGATAATCTGTTTAACCGATTTCTTTGTAGAGCTTTTTGATCGAATTTTACGAAAAACTAGCTTTTGCACTCGAATTTACTGGAAAACAGACCCAAATCGACTTGAAATGATAGAAAAGTGAATGCTAAACATTTTCTATTTAGAGCAATCAATTCGTGACTTAGTCACTTACCATATGTTCTAAGCATTGCATTTTGCATTTTAGGGGGTAGGCTAATTTCCGCAATTTTTTTTACGCAACTCGCCATAACTTTCTTCTAAGTGGGCTAATCTTTATGATTCTAGTGTCATTCTGTTGCACTTGTTGAGATCTACAAAATAACACTAAAAACATCAAGATTGACCAACTTGGAAGAAAGTTATGGTGAGTTGCGCAAAGGACCCAGTTGCGCAAGAAAATTTGGCCCAAAGTAACCACCCCGCTCGCCCCCCGCCCCCTAAATTTGTTTAAAAGGGTAACAAAAAACAATAAACGTTTTCTATTTAAAGCAAAACGTAGGTGAATTGGTGAATTTATCATTTATAAACGCTAGTAGAACAAAGTGTTACCAAGACTTATGAGCCATCCGGGCTTATGAGCCAATCGTTTTTCTATAGATCTTAAAAGATCATATAAATTTATCATCTAACCTTATTCAAAGTACACATTATCACAGGCTACGACTCAATCCGTTCTCGTGATTCGCTGACATTCCCATTGAGAGCGTAAATTCTCAAAGTAGACTTTCTTGGCGTGACTCTCCAAATTGCAAAGATCGCTTATCTTTGTGAGTCGATTGCGCTCGCTTTTCAATACAATCCAATAAACCAACCATGGAGAAATTGCCGTGAAATACATTGGAATCTAAAGATTATTTGTAATCTAAAGATTAAACCGTTTAGCCCTTCGGAATGATCGCAAAAGATCAATTTCTATAAAAAAAGTAACGAATATTCCTACTAAGCTTCATTCTTAGAGTTCTTTGCTTCACTTTCTCAAGCTCAGGGTTTTGTACTTGCACTTTTGGTAACGATTTTGTTATACAGCGTGTCCGAAAAAAGTGGTAATAGGTTTGAGTCTGGAGAAATTTTTTCGTTGTTTTTTCAAGGCTGGTGTCAAAAATGGTTTTGCCTCAGGCGTCACACAACAAGATGAAGTTGATTATTTGATGATTTTGTGAATTGGGGGTCATGCATTGGCCGCGGAGCTCAAAACCCACGTACATATATGAAAAACACTTTTCCATAAAAAACACACTTTTGAATTCCTCTATTTCACCACAAATCTTTCTACTTATTGTTTTTAGAAATTTGTTTTGCTATTAGGAGCTTGAAAATAAGAGACCCTCAAAAAGTCGAACTTGGGTTTTCTCAAGAGGTTTTCTCATTTAAAAATTACCGTATTTTCTCTAATAGTAATGCACCGCGGCGAGCCGAGTTGGTGACTATTTTATAGTTTCCAATTTTTCCCAGAAGCTCAACACTCTAATCCTCCACTAGATCTCATCGTCAGCTACATTTTCCGACCCCACATCGATAGGTTCTGATAAGCGGTTCTCGAGATTTCAAGCAATTTAAACGACGATCAAAGTGCCCTACTATTAGGGGAAAATAATGTTAGGTACAGTACTTAGAAACTAATCTAAAAAGTTCTTTAGGAGAATCTGGTCTTCCTGGTATTCCTGGTTAATGTGGAGAAGATGGATTGCCTGAAGGACCCGGACGTGATGGATACCCTGGAGCCCCTGGAATCAAGGGAGAACAAGGACCTGCTGGAGCGCCTGGACAGAGCGGGTACCCTGGAACCCCAGGAATGAAGGGTTCGGTGAAAAAGGCCATAGTTTAAAACAAGTAATCTACAGGAGACGGTGGATTGCCTGGCTTCCCAAGGACTCTAATCCCCCATTAGATCTCATCGTCAGCTACATTTTCTGACCCCACATCGATAGGTTCTGATAAGCGGTTCTCGAGATTTCGATTAATTTAAACGACGATCAAAGTGCACTACTATTAGAGAAAATACGGCATTTGGATTTGTGCAAGTAGCTCTTTGGGTTAAAGTCAAATACAGATAACAAATAAATTGTGGTTGATTAAACGAATTTTGTAAAATAAAGTACAAAAGACTAAGGGTCTTGATACAAAAATATACTCTGGAGTTAAGACAAGAACTTTTTAGTATAGGATCCTGTTTTTCATTAGTGTTTCTATAGAGCTGAGTGAATCCACAAAGAGTGAAACACACAAATCAACGTTAGAGGCTCATTCTCTTGATTGAGCCAAGCAATCGTTATCAAATTTTGTCCACTAGTTAGCATAGACTTTCTATGATCTTTCCTGCCAACCTAATATTAGGGTTTTCCATAAGTTCTTGAGATTCTTAAATTTGTGATTTCTTATGGACATGGATCCTGTTGTTCATTAGTATTTCTATAAAGTTGGGCGAGTCCACAAAGAGTGAAACACACAAATCAATTTCCACTTGTTGAATTCATTTAGCTTAATCATCGAAAGTTTACAACACAACATGCAATAGAAAATTTTAGAGAAAAAGATTTGGGCCAATCGTTGTTGTGTTTGAGACTCGTTTAAGAAAGCGCTGACCAATCATCATTGCGAAAAACTGTCATTAAACACACAAATCAACGTTAGAGGCTCATCCTCTTGATTGAGCCAAGCAAAGCCAAGCAATTGAGAAATAGAAGAATTCAAAAATGTGTTTTTCATGTATGCATGGATTGTTTTTCATATATGTACGTAGATTTTGAGCTCCGTGGCTGATGCATGACCAACAGTTCACAAAAAGAGTTCACAAAATCATCAAAACAATCAACTTCACTTTGTTGTGTGACGCCTGAGGCAAAAACATTTTTGGTACCACGATGAGCCATGAAAAATCAACGAGAAAATTTTTCCAGACTCAAACCGATGACCACTTTTTTTAGAGACCCTTATTATATTTTATATATTTTGTTAACCTAAAAACTGTTAACTTATTTGTATTTTGTTAACTCACAAAGAAAAACCCGGACCCAGCCGAGTAATAAGGATCATCCAAATAGCTGAAAAACTTTCGATAAGCAGCTCCACAAATCGCAAAGGCAACAAAGGAGAAAGCGTGTAAAAGACTAATAATTTTGAGTTTATCAAGACTTAAACAAGAATCAAGGCTTAGACAAGAATCAAGACTTAGACAAGAATCAAGGCTTAGACAAGAATCAAGGCTTAGACAAGAATCAAGACTTAGCATTGCTTGGTTATAGATCTTACGGAATTGATTCTTGTTGTTGTTCTGGTTTATTTCTTAAAACACTTACCTATACGGTAAAAACAGTTGCATCGTGAGCATCAATTGCCTTCTCCGAAGATTCACCGAAACAATATATGATCTTTGCAATCTGAAAAGGAAAATGGAAAATTAGAAAAGGGATTTTCCATGAAATGCTCCAACCTGTTCTCTCTTTGATACAATTTCAATATTGCGAAAGCACTGCAAATTGTGACGCCTTCAAAAACACCGGTGGCTATTGACTCAATGTTTGACTTTGCTGCCCAATTTGGTGCACTGGCAATACAATAGGAAACCTGGATTTGAGAAAGCTTCAATCCACACAGCTTCCAATAGAATTCAAGGCAAAAGAGAAAGATCTAAAGTCAAATATGAGGAAGTATGAGTCATCAAAACCGGTCATCAAAACCAGTCATCAAAACCAGTCATCAAAACCAGTACCAGTCATCAAAAGTATGAGTTGATTTAAGTTTAGGATTGAATAGACTCTTAAACTTAGTAAAGTGCTTTTAAGATTGAGAATTCTAGACTTGTTTTTTTGAAATTCATTTACCTTTCGATTATTCGAGTAAATACGTTTACTCGAATAGAAGACCGGCCTCGATTATAAGACCGTCTCAAATAGAGGACGGGTTCTAGGGGATGATCGAAAAAATAGAAGACCGTCTCGAATATAAGACCGGTATTATATTCAAGACACCGTTTTCTATTCTGCGCGAAAGTGGACGTACTCAAATACGGGAAAAGAATAGGGGAATTTAACCAATAGGGTAAAAATATTTTATTTTCATTCAATAGCATCATTTTTTTTGGTATTTTTCCATTATACCTACGGCATCTCGACATTTCCCTTATACTCCCACCATTTTGACTCTGTTTATTTGATTATCTGGTAATTTTTATATAAAAACTGGCGGGATATAACGGAAATATGAAGTTGGCGGAGGGATAACGGAAAAGTAGCCTTTTTTTAGGTGATGGGAGGTGCTACGAAACGAAAAGCCTACAGTGCCGCCTTTAAACTCGAGGCCATTCGTTTTTCAAAAGAAAAACTCGAAAGAGGCGGCTGCTCGAATTTTCGTGGATGCAAATAATAAAAGACCGTCTTATCTTGAAGTCTTGAATAGAAGGCTGGCCTCGAATACAAGACGGGATCTAGGGGGTGATTGAAAAAAATAGAACACCGATCTTCTACTCGAGTAAATACGGTAGATGACTCGTACCGATAGGATTTGGATTGAGAGATTGAGTTCGGATTGAAATACAAAAACTCACCGCTCCTCCATTCAACAATCTTCGGATCACCGTCTCATTCTTTCTCAAACGCACACCACCGAAGAAAGATAAACATCGAAAAAGAGCAAGAGTCAAGTTGAGCATCGGTAATGAAAGAGTTGAGAAACTCGTTGAAAGTCTCAGTGATGTGCATAACCATGAGGGAATTGTTCCAAAGCATGGAGGTTGGATGAAATGTTGAAAGAGGAGTAGACTCTGGAAGAGAACTATTACTGAACAATTAGTTCTTTTCCAATATCGGGGGAACGGTCGGATTATCGGGGGAGCGAAAGGAAAATCGGGGGAGCAAATTTTACCCCCTCGAAAAATGCATTTCCGGGACTGTATTTTAACTGCAACGTTTTTTTAAAACTTTAACGACGTTGCGCTTCTCCGATATTTGTGCGTTCAAGAAATCGATGGCAATCGATTATTTCGTCACCAAAGGAACCAAACTTTGAGAGATAAGGAACCAAGTTTAGAGAGATAAGGAACCAAATTAGGGAAAAGGAAGGATTAGAAAGAGGACATTAGGAACTAATTAGAACCAATAAACGTCACCAAAGGAGTCATCCAGTCGTGGATTTGCAAATGTGGCGAATCGATGAGAGTCCGCTCAAAGGGAAAAGATCTATTTCGCTGGGTATGTGACACTTGCGCACGGCGAAAGGTCCCCAAGCATTCAAGAGGAATTCGGGTCGATAACAAAGCAAGCTCCCGTTCGTCACAATTTTAAATAGGACATATGTAGCGCTGCCAAAATTTGCTCCCCCGATAATCCTTCCGCTCCCCCGAAATTGGAAAAGAACCGTTATTTGAAATGGACCATTAGGCACAAAGGAATGCGCACAAACAGACAGACACAGCTCTTTTATATAGTAAATTTAATTGTTATCATTAATTGTTTAATTGAAAGTATTGGTTTATATTCAAGTCTTACAGTATCTCAAAGCAATCATTCAAAACCTTCAAAGTAACATTTCAGCTTTGCCAACTCAAAAATTCATCAAAAGATTTATTAGAAATTGACTAGAGAACTTTCATCTTCGATTTCCCGACTCACCAAAAAGCTATTCAGTTTAAGCTGAACTGTGGATAAGCTACCGTAATCTCACCTGGTTTTTCGGCAATATAAGCCGCTTTTTTGTGAGAAAGTTTTCTCTAGATTTTTGTCTATAAATCTTTTTGGTTTTTTTTGGTTTAACAGTTAGCTCGTGGCATAAATTGTATTCCGCTAAAAGCTTGATTTTTGTTCTGAAAGCTTAGAAATTACACAGAAAGTAGACTCGAGTCGTGACACCGACATATCACCGACACATCATCGACCTTTAGAAAATCTTACAGTCTAGGTGATTAAGTAGACCTGCTTAACGAGGCCCTGCAAAATTTTCAGACAGTCTGCCTCGCTCTTCGATTTTTTTTACTGCCCAAAACTCCTTCAAGCATGAAACCCAGTTTCCCCGCAAGCCCTTATTCTAGGCTTCATTTTGATACTTTTGATAGCTTAGTTTTCTAGAAAGCATTGAAAATCTCTTAGTTTTCTAGAAATCGTTCAAAATGAGCTTAGTTTTGCATTAATTTTGCTTTTCAGCATATTACTCTGTGCATTTGTGACATGACAAACCTAAAAAGTTTGAGCGGGGCCATTACCTTTGAGCGGCACTGTATCTAGGCGATACTGTAATAAAAGGATTCATCAAAAGATTTGTTAGAAATAGACTAGACTAGAGAAATTGCCCAGAGAAATTTTATCTCCGAGTACCCAATCAATCATCAACCCCACAGAAAATCTTACAGCCTAATTGTGTGAATTCCAAATAAAATGCCATTCTATAGGGATATTTCAACTTCATCTCTCAATTCTTCACAAACCTGAAGCAAAAAGAGACCCAAGCTTTGAATGACATGAATGCAATAGCAACAAATAAGATATTCCTTGAAAGCAGAGTCCAATAGAATCGACAAGAAAACCCTTTGCCGAGTAGCAAAAATGCCAAGAATAGAGATGAAGCCGGATAAGAGTTGGCATGACATTGTTCCATGGAGGAAGGTACTTGTCGTGTAGATCGAGATATCAGAGCAGTTTGTTGGATCCATGTTTTAACAATTGAAGTAATTGAATTTTGGTTGTAGATTTTGTGCTCAACTCAATTGTTTGACATATCTGAGATTATCGATAAGCTTGAGTTCAATGGCTTGAGTTCAATGGCTTGAGTTCAATGGCTGGAAAACTCAATGGCTGGAAAACTCAATGGCTGGAAAACTCAATGGCTGGAAAACTCAATGGCTGGAAAACTCAATGGCTGGAAAACTCAATGGCTGGAAAACTCAATGGCTCAATGGCTGGAAAACTCGCTGATCATAATTCTTTGGTTCTTTTCAGAAAACTCTGCAATAAAAGAGATTCCTTTTTTCTTGATATTTACCTTCGCTTTCCAAGGACAGCAATTAAAAAACGGTAATTCTTAGAAAATTGACGGTATTGGCAAAATCGGAAAACATACTTTTTTCTATTCTGAAAATAATTTCCTTTCTAGTAAATCGTCCACCAAACAGGTGTTTTTGAAAGAAGAATTTCAAAGTTTTAAAATTCTGATGTATTATAAGGAGGAACTAACTATGAAATTGAAAAAAGCTACAAAAATGAGGATCAAGGTAAGCAAAGAGACATAGATAGAGCAAGGATGCATACCGTAAATACTTTAATAGTACCGTAAATCATGTAGTAGTACCGTAAATAATGTAATTGTGGTTTAAAAATATCTAGAAAATTGAAAGCTGCTGGATTTCAATCGAGGATCAAGGTAAGCAAAGATACATAGATAGAGCAAGGATGCATGCCGTAAATACTTTAATAGTACGGTATGTACTTTAATAGTACGGTAAATACTTTAATAGTACCGTAAATCATGTAATAGTACCGTAAATACTGTAATTGTGGTTTAAAAATATCTAGAGAATTGAAAGCTGTTGGATTTCAATTCAGAAGTGGGAAAATAGAAAGAAGAGAGCCGAAACATTCAATCAGACCAGTTTTGTTATCAACGAAGCCTTGTGATTTCTCTGAATGAACCAAAACTTAGGCTAATTGAATAACTACTACCGTAAATACTGTAATAGTACCCTACACCCCTCGTACAGTCGCGTAGTCGCAAAAGTTTTTTACTATTTCATTTTTTTCAAAGCGCCCGTACTTTCAAAAAGTGCATCTTTGATATCAAAAAATAGCTGAAATTTAGGGCTATTTTTTGATACCCAAGCGCGCATTGTAGCATAAACCAGTGCCGAGAAAAACTCTTCCAAGGCTAGACTACGCAACGCTCCGCACCGTCATTATGGGGGTGGGGTACTATTGTAGTATTTACGGTAGATTAGAAATAGATAAGAAAGATATAGATAAAGAAGATATAAACGGTATATTAGAATTGAAATCGATTTGAATAATGAAAAATTTGATTTTAATTACTTTAAAGATCTGAAAACATTGAATGGACATGACTTTTGAAGAGAATTGTAGTGCTTTTTTCCCTTTTTTGTGGCGAGTGGCTTTTTGAGACAAAAAGGCCAAATCATAAATTTCGAATCAAAAGACATTTCCGTAAACAAAAAACTGCTCAACAAACTCATTTGCTGCAACATTCAGAGTTTTGAAATGTGAATGGGAAATTGAGAGTTCAAAAAGGCTCATCGCAAAAGCTCATAGCATCTTAAAAGCAAAATCTTTTTATGAAATTTTAATTTAGTTTCATTAAATTCTCAGCAATAGGAATCCCAATTCTTTTCTCGTGAATCAGTAGATTGTTGAAGAGCCTTTGCCTGCCACTTTCCCAATTCCATCCGTCTCGATGAGAACAAACCAATAACTGGAAAGATTTCAATGAGCTAAGCATTATGGAAATATCTGTCATCAGAAACATATAGCACATCTTAAAACAAATCTTATGCATAACACCATCGTTGATTACTCATTTGGATGCGATAGTCAGCTATGGAAATGGGATTTAAATTGTGTATTTGGCTTAAAAAGTAAAGCTTAAAAAAGAGTTGGGCAAAATTCTCCAAACAACTTTCCAAGACACGTTTACACACGTTTAATTTGTTTCAAAATGTCAAGTGTTATATAGAGAATTGTAGCCCTTAATCTTGGCTACGTTTATCTACTAAAAACCTCTCAATAGGATGTATAAAGCTCATTTAACAAGCGCTTGAATGAGCACTAGTCGATTCCTATCCAGCGCGGTTTGCTTAAAGTTTTTGATGATTGTGAACTACTTAATGCGCAACATACAGATTAAAATTATGGAACGAATCCTATTTTAACAGATTTATTGTTTTATCTCGTTACTCGTTCTTTCCTTACTTATAACTTAAATTCTTTTGTATTCTCTTTTTCAGGATGAAATCACAATTGGATTTGCGATCAGAGAGTTGCAGCCCTTAACTTTGGCTACATTTATCTACTAAAAACCTCTCAATCGGATGTATACAGGGTCCGTCATAATTATTGCAACAAGATACTCAAGGCATTGCACACCAAGAAGTTTCACTGGAAGAAGATTTTTAAACAGAAATGGCTTTAATTAACAGTAACAAATAAGGAAACAAGAGATCATTCGATATGACCGCCTTTTGCCTTGATAACAGCCCTTAATCGGTTCGGATATGCCCCCACTGCGGCCCGAATGTCATCTTGAGGAGTCGCCTTCCATCCTTTGGTCAAAGACTTCTTCAAGGTCAAAGAGCAGACATTAGCCTCTAAGATTGCCCAAATGGAAAAGTCCATCACATTGAGATCCGGTGAGTTTGGAGGCCATTCATCCTTGGTGATCACTGAGGGAAAGTTGGCCACACACCAGTCCTGAACCGTCTTCTTCGTGTGAGCGGGAGGCAATTAGGCAAGAATAAAGAAGATAGAACGCAACACAACAAAAAAGGGGGCAAAAAAATAAGAAAGCTGTTTGGAAAACGGTCTTTGAACTCTTGTTGCAATAATTATGACGCACCCTGTACAGCGCATTTAACAAGCGCTTGAATGAGCACTAGTCGATTCTCATCTACCGCGCTGCCATTCTTGACAATTTTCTACATAAAAAATTGTTCGAAAAAGTTTTTATCAATATTTATTTTATGCAAAATATCATTTAACACCATTAATAATATTAAAGATAACTTTCAACTGTTTTGGCTAACCAAAATCAAGCTGCTTCTTTGAAGACGCAGGGAAAAAGGTTGAACATGTTTCGAGATTTAGTTCACATGTGTATCTCGTTATATTAAATGTTATGGCACTATGAAATTGTTGGAAATTATTATATAATTTTTAAACAAAATGCACACAAAGTTTACTGGATAAAGTTCTTTTTAGATAGAAATTTTTCTGTGTAGAAAATCGTCAAAAATGATAGCAAATACAGGGTGCGTCATAATTATTGCAACAAGAGTTCAAAGACCGTTTTTCAAACAGCTTCCTTATTTTTTTGCCCCCTTTTTTGTTGTGTTGCGTTCTATCTTCTTTATTCTTGCCTAATTGCCTCCCGCTCACACGAAGAAGACGGTTCAGAACTGGTGTGTGGCCAACTTTCCCTCAGTGATCACCAAGGATGAATGGCCTCCAAACTCACCGGATCTCAATGTGATGGACTTTTCCATTTGGGTAATCTTAGAGGCTAATGTCTGCTCTTTGACCTTGAAGAAGTCTTTGACCAAAGGATGGAAGGCGACTCCTCAAGATGACATTCGGGCCGCAGTGGGGGCATATCCGAACCGATTAAGGGCTGTTATCAAGGCAAAAGGCGGTCATATCGAATGATCTCTTGTTTCCTTATTTGTTACTGTTAAATAAAGCTATTTCTGTTTAAAAATCTTCTTCCAGTGAAACTTCTTGGTGTGCAATGCCTTGAGTATCTTGTTGCAATAATTATGACGGACCCTGTAGTGATCGACTAGTGCTCGTTCAAGCGCTTGTTAAATGAGTTGTACAAGTTCAATCGGGAAGCTTTTGGTAGATAAATGTTGCCGAGAACTAGGGCCACGATTCTCTATATAACACTTGCTACTTTTGAAATAAATTAGACATTTCCTTACTTTTCCAAAATGTTGGCGATATAATTTGCGCGGTCACCCTGTAGATTGTAACTTTAGCTTGTAAAGTACTTTACTTTAAGCGGTTATCTTGTTTAAGAATGATTATAGCTTACTTACCTGTTGCTCTTCCGAATAACGTAGTAAAAGACAAGAGGCAAAATGCTGTGCGAATAATGACTTTAACTAAAAACTTCTAATCGAAAGAAATCAAACTCATCAAACTCTTTCTTCGTGTTTCTTCTGATTCTTTAAAGCATAAATGTTCACAGCAATTCCACCTAGAGATTTCTTTTCATCATAATATCAAAAAAAAAATACCTTTTGGACTAACTAGCTCCGACATTGTGCTGATAATCTTTTCACCAAGAAATTCTTCAATCGGACAAATGAGCTCTTTTGAGGCATCACCGGTTGTCGATGCATCCAAAATGATGAAATCGAAAGTGAAACCTGGAACAGTATGTTTGAAAAATCAATCATTATTGGGTTGGTGAATTGAAAAATGATTCGCTTAAGTTTTTTCGAGAACTTCTAGTCAGCTTGGACTTCGACCTTGGCAAGTGAAGTAGGTTTTGGGCATACAAGAAGTGACTAGAGTTGCTACTTGAGGAGCTAAAGGATTGTTAATTGTAGCTAGAAGTGTTTTAATGAGTCTTTCAAGTAATCAGATCAAGTCAAGAACAACTGTATCGTTAAAGCCTTTGGTTAAGATGCTAAAATGGTTATGGTACTTTGACTCAAAGAACTATTGGGTTGGTGAATTGACTCAAGTAAAGCTTTGAGTTCCGAGAAATGCACGTTCACGTAACCCTAAACTTGAACTAGCTAGTAGAACAAAGTTGACTGACTGAGGGATGACTTGAAAATACCGTAAAATCTAAATTTCTTGTCTCATTAAGGGAACTTCAATCCATTAAAGTCGTAGGAAAATAGAATACGGTCGCTTTACTATTACTTTACTATTCAGTTGGTGAATTGAAAACCGCCGGCTATTGTCATATGTGACAGTTTGAGCACTTTCTTCAAAAAGAAACCCATTTTGGTGCCAATGGAAAAGTTGTAGAGAATCAAAAATTAAGCTTATATCCAAATTTTCAGAACGATTCAAAAACTGGCTTTCAAGAAATGCAAAATTTACGAATCTTCACAAAACTTGCATTTTAAGCGAAACTACTAAGTGTATCTTTTTGGAAATTTGGATATAAACCTAATTTTTGATTCTCTACAACTTTTCTATTGACACCAAAATGGGTTTCTTTTAAAGAAAGTGCTCAAACTGGGACATCTCCAGTCCTCGATTTTTGAGTTTCACACTTGTCTCACACACCAACCAAAATCCTACTACGAAAGAGGAATCCGCAAATTGGCTGTAAAATGGGCAGAAGTCGTCAATAATAATGGAAATTATTTGGAATGAATTGATGGTTTTATGTTGGATAAATTTTAGTTCAAAGTCCGGCAGTTTTCAATTCACCAACCCAATAATATCCAAAAAACCGCAAACCTTCTTCTTTTAGCCTCTCGGATAAAACAATTCCATCAGCTGCTATCACATGGTTATTCTCATTCTCCTCAAAGTCAAAGAACTTTTGACTAGCCTCAATAATATTCGGATCAATTTCAATAGTTGTCAGATTAAACTAAATAGCAATTATCTCAAAAATAAAAAAAAAATAACCTGAAAATCAAGCTGTGAAACGTAGTGCTGCAGAGCTCCACCACCAAGACCAAACGTGAGAATTTGATTGAGTGAGTGGTAATTCAAAATCTGAAGGCTTGCGAGCTATTGCAATTGAAAAGAAGAAATGCCTCAAGCATGTATCCACTTGTAATCATGTACATCATAACAGGGGTCACCATCACTCGTTTATTCACATTCCATCTTGACGTATCAACGTTTTTGAAGCTCAAGTCAACTAAGACTTGCATACGATGCGTATCTGTTACTTTCAAACCTGGTGGTGAGAGCCAAACTCTTGTCAACGTGCCATCAGTTAAATCATCCGGTACCATATCACGCCAAATTTCAAACCTTGACAAGTTGACAATGACGTGAACCGACTATAGTCGACTATAGTGAATAGTCAGCAAAACTTGGCCAGCGCCCGGGTTCACCAACTGCTAAATTTAGCAAAATCGGATTCACCAACGCATTTAGCATCTAGCAAGCAAGTTTGGATTTTGCTAAATCCCTCCGAGAGTGTTTAGCAGTGCCGCCACCTCCAAAAAAAAACACTTATAGCTCTGCTCTGAACAAAGATACCAACAAAACTAATTACATATTTGGAGTCCGACATACTCTCGTTAAAAAACAACCCAAAATTTGGCCAAATTTTGAGCACATAAACTTTTTTCGAAAAAAACCATGTGGTACTTATGAAACTTTACAATTTTTTTAACTTGAATCTTTTTCAGAAAATTCAGAGATCATTTAGAGATCGAGAAGCCGATTGGCGTCATCAGAAAAATAGGTTGCCGTCAAAAAACAGAAAACAAAGCACAACAAGCACATTTGCTAAATTTAGCAAAATCCCTTCTGCATTTAGTGTTTAGCATTTATCATTTAGCAAATTTGCTAGATGGTAAATTGGTAAATGCTTGATGGTAAATGGTAAATAGTTTAGTGGACACGGGCCCTGGACAAGAATGCTTCTAGGGTCTTAAGGTAAAGCAGGTCAGGGCAGGCCTTAAGGCAGAGCAGGCCAAGTTCATGTCTTGATTTCTAGATCAGTCTAGGTCAAACAAGACAAGTTCAGTAGCTAGTTCTGGACCTGGCTTTTAGTCTGGCGCTAGTTTGGCCCGGAAAAATGCTGGTCGGGCCCGGACTGGCCCTGATTTTGGAACTCAACTCAAATCGGAGTTGATTTGAGTTGTCGATTGGTGGACACGGGCCCTATACCTGGACTTCTGCCCTGCCGAAAAAAAACTTTTGAACTTTTGAAGCCACCTACGTTTCACCATTTCTCCTCGCCGTATCAATGATCTTGTAACAAGTTTTAAATTTCCCGCAAAAGCTGTGCACGAGGATTGGGCTTCGCTCAATAACCGCATCCTCAAGTTCGTCTCTGAAAATAATCTTAGCTTCAAAATAAAGCTTCAAAATAAAGCTTCATCAAACCTTGTCTTGCCAGTAAAGAATCCAATTGAAACAAACATCCATAAGATTAGCTAAAACATATTGTCGTAGTTGATTCAGCAACCTGTATCGATATTTTGCTTGATTATTCAAAAAAAGTTACCGAAGCTAGTACGAAGAATGACAAGAGACGAATAAAAAGCTGTCTGGAGTGGCGCTTCATTGAGAAAACCCTTGGAAAAGATGTGGAATCTGAAAGAAACTAGAATATAATCACGATACTTCAAAAAAATAAGCCAAACCAGTAAGCTCACTGACGCTCGCGTTTTCCACGCAATCTAAGCCCCGCTCCCTTTTGCCAATGGCTGCGCACAGACAGACGGACAGACAGACGGACAGACAGACGGACATACAGACGGACAGACAGACGGACAGACAGACGGACAGACAGACGGACAGACAGACGGACAGACAGACGGACAGACAGACGGACAGACAGACGGACATACAGACGGACAGACAGACGGACAGACAGACGGACAGACAGACGGACAGACAGACGGACAGACAGACGGACAGACAGACGGACAGACAGACGGACAGACAGACGGACAGACAGACGGACAGACAGACGGACAGACAGACGGACAGACAGACGGACAGACAGACGGACAGACAGACGGACAGACAGACGGACAGACAGACGGACAGACAGACGGACAGACAGACGGACAGACAGACGGACAGACAGACGGACAGACAGACGGACAGACGGGCAGACAGACGGACAGACGGACAGACAGACAGACAGACAGACAGACGTACGGGCAGACAGACAGACGGGCAGACAGACGGACAGACAGACGGACAGACGGGCAGACAGACGGACAGACGGACAGACAGACAGACAGACAGACAGACGTACGGGCAGACAGACAGACGGGCAGACAGACGGACAGACGGACAGACAGACAGACGTACGGACAGACAGACAGACGGGCAGACAGACGGACAGACGGACATACTTCTCTTTTGCTATATTATATTAGTAGAGTAGTAAATTTATTATATTAGTAGATTTTATTATATATGTCGTAGCCGTTTACGAAATTTAGCCGCTAACGAATGAGGGTATTTCCGAGCATCCAATCAAAAAGTCACCCACATAAAAAATGTTCATAATACATATATTTTATAATAAATTTTTGAAATTAGCTCATTTGGTTCAGTAGAAAATTTTTTTTGAGCCCCCAAAGTTTCGGTTCAAAAATGCCCTAGATTGGCTATAAAAAATTTTCTACTCAGCCAAAAAACTTGCCTAATAGCTCATTTTGTAGCCAATTTGATGTAGATTCTTAAAGTAAAGCCATCTAAAACAATTTTTTGTTGAAAGTAGGAGATTGAGGGCGAGGAACGACTTCAGTTGAACTCGGTCGCTGTTTTCACATTTGAGAATTGCCCTGAATTTGTTCCTCGCCCTCTTTCTCCTACTTCCAACGAAAAATTGTTTCAGATGGCTTTACTTTAAGAAACTACATCATATTGGCTACAAAATGAGCTATTAGGCAAGTTTTTTGGCTGAGTAGAAAATTTTTTATAGCCAATTTAGGGCATTTTTGAACCTAAACTTTGGGGGCTCAAAAAAAATTTTCTACTGAACCAAATGAGCTAATTTCAAAAATTTATTATTAAATATATGTATTATGAACATTTTTTATGTGGGTGACTTTTTGATTGGATGCCCGGAAATACCCTCATTCGTTAGCGGCTGAATTTCGTAAACGGTTACGACATATATTCTATATTTATATATTAGTAGATTTCGAGTTTCAATGAGTAATTTTAGTGGAAGGTGATCTTATCAAAAGTATCAAAAGTATCAAAAGTGCTCTAAGTGCTATTCATCTTCTGGAATTTTTCTAAATCTTAGAAGAAGATTAATACCAGTTGTGCCAAAAGCCAATATGCCAAGCCAAAGAAGAACTACCACTACATCAGCCTATTTGTTTCTATAAATCTATTTTTTAAATCTTTTGTGATCGAAAGAATGCTGCAAAAAAGGATATGTACATTTATTATCAGTAAACCACTTTTTTGAAAGTTCAAGGTCACAAATTTTATCACCAGATGCCCGTTCCCATATTGTCCGTCTGTTTCAAACAATGAACAATGAACAATTTTCTTTTGAATAAGCTTTTACATCCAAGATCAATTTGACCAATCTTGTTGACTTTCTCTTTCCCTTTTCGCAACTTTGTCTACCAGAAAATACAACTATGAGAAAATGACAGCTTGAATTTCGTGGAATTCTGTGGAAGTAGGCGATTTGTACCGCAATTTGTACCACAATGTGACAGCTTGTACAATATATAAGAGAAAGAAAAGCTTTGATTGCTGAAAAACTCTCAAGATGACCAAACTCTACGTTTTGTTGGTGCTTGCCGTCTTTGTTCTCTTCGCCACAGCCTTTACTGGCAAAGCTTCCACAGCAGCCCCTGTTCAGCTTCCACACAAGAACTAGGTAATATTTTGAGATTGGATTTTGGCAGAAAGTTAGAAATGTTCTAAAGAATGTTCAAAACAAGGGACTTTCCCATTATACCCCCACAGCATCAATCCCACTATACCCCCCACAGCATCAATCCCTTTATACCCCCCACAGCATCAATCCCTTTATACCCCCGCAGCATCAATCCGTTTATACCCCACAGCATCAATCCCATTATACTCTCACAGTATCAATCCCATTATACTCCCACAGCATCAATCCCATTATACCCTCACAGCATCAATCCCATTCTACTCCCACAGCATCAATCCCATTATACCCCCGCAGCATCAATCCCATTATACCCCCACAGCATCAGTCCCTTTATACCCCCACAGCATCAATCCCTTTATACCCCCGCAGCATCAATCCGTTTATACCCTAACAGCATCAATCCCATTATACCCCCACATTTTAAAAAATTAACATTTAATAAAAAACAACAAAATTTAGTTTGCATCAATCCTTTGCAGTGTGTGAGAGAGTACCGATGGGGGCAATGATTATTAGATATTTGTTCCGAATCTAACACAATACTAATCTAGCGAGAAAATACAAAAGAATAGAATCAATCGTTGGTTCAGCGTTTCATAGCAATACGAAAAGCAATAGGAAGAGACAATACAAAGTGGGCTCCGTCCATTTTATCATAAAAACATTTTACCCCCACGAATGGCAAAAAGCTTTTCTAACTACAATCCACAATGCATAATGACACACAATAAATTCATAATTCAATTTTTGGAGGCCATGTTGAGAGAATCCTTTTAAGAACCCAATCAAAGTAATCTTTCCCAAAGTATCGATCTTTCCCAATTCAGTTCTGACCATGAATTCCGCAAGGTAGCTTTCCAAATGATGTGATGTACCGCGGTGCTTCTTATTCCGCCACTTTTCGCTTCCTCAAAGCCACTTGATAGTTGGAATTAAGAAAGTTCTTCGAGCTTTTCTTTGGGAAAAATATCATTCCGATAAATGCTTATTTTTTTAAATGTGGGCGTATAACGGGAATGATCCTGTGGGGGTATAATGGGAGAGTACCAAAAAAGAATAATCGCTCAAGCTCTAGCTCAAGTGTCTAGGCTTTACTAATCTTAAAACAAAGTTAAAATGGCTGGTAGCAATGTTCAGTTTTGACAGCAATTTTGGCGCTTGTTTGAAGTTCAAAAAGCTGGGTGATTCTATGATTCTCTATAAATTCTATAAATTCTATAAACTCTAGTATTCTATTATCCTATTATTTTTATTTGACAATGTTCTGAAACACTATCAATTTTCAGAGTCATCATGGCATCTGCTTCGGTCCATTTGAGCGTTTGAGCGTCCATTTCATGTTCTTTTGTTCATTTCAAAATTTGTTCACCTCTTTCAAAATCTAAATAAAAATGACAGATCAAATGACAGATCAAAAACCAAAATTGCAGAACAAAAACCAAGATCTAAATATCAAAATGTGATTTTAAAACTCTTTGGAACAAGTCTTAAAAAACCAAAAAGCTAAACAAGACAAGCAGAATTGTTTTCACTTATCAGACTTAACAGGTTAACAGATCTCATCCATAAACAGATGATAGCCATCTTGATCATCGAGAGGTTCTCGATTGATTGATGCCATAAAATAGAGAACATTCGGTGAGTCGATCTTTTTCTGAACAGAACTAGCTGATGTTACAATTGTGTCCCCTCTGCCCAACCAGAAAGCAAAGGCCATTTGGAGATCCAGGACAAGTACAGGACAAGGCAAGCACCAGGCTTGTTTCTAAGATTTAAACAAATTCTCTCAAAATCTTCTGGTGCTAGTTTACTTTGAGCGTCAAGTGCACAAGTGAATGAGAAATCTTTACTGGGCAAGCCGGTTTTCACAATCTCTTGAAAAATAGTAGATGTGACGTCCAATCTTGACTGATTCTGACAAGGCCCATGTGAAATCAAGATTCCCGAAATAAACATGCTTAAACTTTGGCGTTTCCTGGAAAGCAGATTAGAAAGAAAGACAATTTAGGGAAACGGATTAAAAGAGAGAAACACTGAATGATAGTGCATCCTCTTAATACCGTAGCGACAGAATACAGTAATGGGATGTATATGTTATGCCCGATCTAGAAATCCGTCCGATCTAGAACGAAGCCGATCACTCTAAATCTAAGTCTGGATCGGACGTCTGACTTAGACTGATCGGCTTGATTCTAGATCGGACGTTTGACCTTACTTTACTCTGGATCGGACATTCTATTTCGAATCATTCTAGATCGGACGTAACATACATAAGTTAGAAAGAAGAGATGAGTTATTGCTTGAGAAATTAGAACCATCCTTCAATAGGAAATGTATTTAAATTATTGATTTTAGATTGATTTTGTATAGGAAAACCATTAAAACTAACACAGTCAACTGATTCCCCAAGCCTGAAAACCCCGGGTACAATTTTTCTATCCAAAAATTTGAAGTTTTTGAACTTTAAAAAGAAGATCGTCGGGTTGTTCTCTGTGCGCGGGCACAATCGCGCGCGTTCTAGCATCCTATGTTTCCTGATATAGCTCCCTTTTCACCTCTCAAAACGGAAGCGTCCATTTTGGGTCATCCGGTAACCAATCCGTTGTCTGCCCCATGTGGTCACCGCTTCCCAAAACTTAACCCTGGTTGTAGAATTGGCAAACCCAATTCCGGCTCATTTT